ATTATTCCGTTCCGGATCTACGCAATCCTCCGAATAGCCGCGCCGACAATCAAAAAGAGATAAATCACGCGGATCATATGGCGATTATTCAAAATTCCCCTTCTGGGATTTGGCCAACTTTAGCGAAAAAATATAATCCTTTCACGTCTTCTTTTGCGAAATTTTCGTGGAGCCTATTTTCCTATATAGATTATCTTGGGGTATCAATTCGAATATCAATATATGAGAGATCTAATTAGATTTTTGGGCCTTCATATGGATATTATCCAAAATTATTTCATAATAGAATGACCTCTTTGCAGAGATTCCAAATTCCTTTCGCCAATTCCATCGCCAGCTTTCGCGAAAATATATTTCAAGCCTTGAACCCTTAAAAACACAAATGCCGCATGCCCTCAACTCGAAAATCCTGAAAACTAACGGGCTTAAAGACGGAAGCACCAAGACCATGGCTTGTAAGGCCGGGGGCTTGCTTGGCTTACGCGATCGTGCGTAGATCTTTCCCGGATCTTTCGCGGATTTTCGGATAAAACCTCTGAGACTGAAAGGATACTTCAGAAAATTTTGCATTCCTTTCGCCTTTGAATATATACGTTCGTTGCGAGGCTTTCCCCAATACGTATAGATAATCAATATCTAGGGACCAGGGAATGCCTATAATATCAAGGGGATTTCATAAAATATTTCGTGTAAATCAGCTGGGGGATGAAAGATATCTCCCTGCGATCGGATTGCAGGAAGGGAAATTCTCTGACCGCACGTAAGGAATTAAAGCTTATAACGCTTCATTCGCGAAATCCAAAATTCCTCTGGCAAATCATTTTACTTTACTGAACGATTCTGCTATCACCTATCTTTCGCGCAAAAATATAATCCTTTCGCGCCTTCTTTCGCAAAAATTTTACGAATCCTTTAAATTAGCTGAAATGATCGCCCGAATATCAATCGAAGATAAGGACCTTTAGAATAATCTTAATCAATACATAAAGCTGGGACGTGATCAAAAACGATCAACCTAATAGATTCCAAAAGATTACGCCCCAGGTGCAAAAAATATCGAACCACTACGCAGATGACCGAAGAGAGAGAAATAGATTGGAATCTCCGGAGATTTTAGGTCGCGCAACTCTCTCATCCAGCCCCGATTTTCCGCCTCAAATATCTTTCTTAGGTTATTTGCGCAACTAGTCGAAGCAATATCTATCTCCGCGTAAATAAATACGACCGAACTATTTAAAAAAAAATCGTTTATCGAATTAATAATCAAAGAGAAATAAATTCCCGCAGAAACCTCATTCCAGAGACGATAAGAATCGCGATCAAAAATCTCCGAGATTTTCAGACGGGCAACCAGCGCGAAAATTCTCGAAGATTTTAGAATCTCATATTTATCCGAAAAATATTACAAATTCCGATATAAGAAATCTCTCTATAAGAATTTTCAAGAAATATTTCAAAAGGCAATTAGAAAAATCCAAATCGCGTCTCATATTATGATCATAAATAGATGCATCTTTATAATAATATATACGTAGTTGCTGAATATTCATAAAATTCTAAAAAAAAATCTATCTTCTATAAGTCCGACCTTTCAGAACGCTTAATTCCTATTATGTTTTTCTATAATATATTTATGCCATTTTCCCGTATTTTCGAATTAATTATTTTCAAAAATCATATTCCTAAATATCCTCGATATTCTTTATTTTTCGAATTTTAATATTAGAAATTGCGTTTTCGCGCGAGATAATTGATTTTTTTTTAACGTATTAATCATTTTACTATCTTTAAAAATCGACCTCTCTCGAGAGATATATTCAAAATTTCATTTTCATTCGATTCGATCAAAATTACGTTCCCATGCGTAGAGTTCGGATAAAATTGATATTTTATTTTCAAAGTTCGCGCTCCCGCTCAAGCGTTCATAGCCATTAGCTAGAACTGCTTTGACAGGTCTAGTCTCCGCTGTGATGAGTCTGAGCCATCATGAATCCCGAATGAATTTTCAAGGGCAGGCGCCCGTCTTTTCGAATCCTCACCGTTCAAGTCCTGTGCAATTTAGCCTTGCTTTTCTTGCGCGCCTCCAGGCACTCCAATGGCTAATCCCAGGCTTCAGGGCCTTAGGTCTTCATTGGAACTCAGACACGACCTCTCTCTCCAGGAATGTTCTGATCTTCAGATTTCCGAAAATTGTTGGCCTCATCGAGACAGCAACCGAGCTGCAGGTTCCAGCAGGTAGAGGTGATAGAACATCCAGCAGCGTGAGCTGGTAGCGGAACTTCGGCTTGTGGAACCCGCAGCATATGCGACATTGAAAATTTGAAGCAATAAAGTGAGAAGTTATCCAAATGCTCTACAAGTCCACCTTGATGCCGGAAAGGTTAGGGGTATAATATAGGGGTTAGATAATGATAATGGAAGAGAAAATGGAAGCTACTCTTTAGGGATTAGGAATGATAGCGTCTACACTGACAAGTCTACAGCTGCTGACTGTCTACCGTTTTGTGCTTCTGACCTAGAATCTGGACTGCAAAAACCGGCAATGAGCAGGCACATACAAAACACAGGCCTGTGAAAGCTCCTTGTCATTGATGGGCTAACGGCTATGTCTGCTATTGAGCTATATGCATGTGATCATGAGCTCACTCAGACCTTGTGTCCATTGCCATGCTTGCAAATGGCACGGACGATGAGTTTCCCAGGTTGACACCTCGGCTGGACAGCAGCAGCTATGATGGGCCCAGTGTCGTCCCTTGGGAATTAGCCGTTGCTTGGCGTTGCTTGCTTGTCGTTCGGCTTCTCAGCACCTGGGCAAGATACGACTCGCGTGCACTTCCTCTCTTACAGTAGCATGATTACCTTCCGTGAGCTGCAGCCAATGCTGCAAAGCCAAGAGTGGGACCTTCACTGCTGGCACTGGTAGCATTTGACTGAGCACCTGTGCTGCTTGCAGGTCAGCTGTGGGCGGGTCTCTTTGCTGCAGTTACTGGCTTCTGCAGTCACCAGGCCAAGTTGAAGGGGGACCCTCCTAAAAGGGCCCGTCAAACAGATCTCATATGAAGGGTTATGATGGTTTGAGGGTAGGAGGAGACGTGCTATGCCTCTGGACCCTGGCACCCTCCCTGCCACCTCCCTCCACAACCCACCCTCCCCACCCACCGACCGACCCTCAGACACTTAGGGTTCAGGGGAATAGGGCTGCCACCACATGTCCCAGCCCCCGGCCGCTGGGGTTAGGTACGTGCAGGAAGCTGGAATAACCGCTTCCCTTCCCAACTTCTTTTGCTCCAATCTGTTCTTTGTTCGCTGAGCACGGTACGAGTGCTGGTATGTTGGGCAGGGTGTTTGAGGATTATTTCACGAATGTGCACCGACAATGTCTTTCAAAGACAGTAGGGACGGGAAAGTCAAAGCGGAACAGACAAGGCAAGCGGAAGGCCACGGGGAACGGTGGCAAGGACAAGGGAAGGGGAGGGAAGGCCTTTGCAGTCCCCAAATGTGCAGTGAGAATCCGACCACTCAGCCTTAGCATGTGAGCCCGCCGGAGGTGTGTGGTGGCCTACAGGGGCTGTCGCAGAGCTGCGGAGGTTCCGCAGAGCGCTCCGCAGAGTGCTAGGCTACGCTCCGCAAGGCCCCCCCACCACAGGCCTCCGAGGAGCCTTCTGGGAGGGCTTCCTAGGGAGCTCCCTAACAAAGTAGTTTTTAGCTTTTTAGGAAGCCTGAAGTTGGGAGCTTCCTAGGAAGCTGGGAAACTCTCAAGAAAGAGTTTGCCAAGGCTTCCTTGGGGGCTTCCCTAAGGAGCGTGCTAGGCTCGCCAGAAGCTGCGGAATCACGTGGACGACAGGTGTGTTTTCGATGGTGGTCGACGGAAGCCGCCGAATTACGCTAAGAAAGTGTGTCGGCCTGCGATGGGCAGGGAGTGTGAAGCTGGCAATATTCCATGAGACAACGACACCGCCACATGCGCACTTGGAAAAGGACAAATCAGATTACCACAGCACACCGACCACACATGCTTTATTAGGCTTTGCCACTGCTTCCCATGGCTGAGCCTTCCCAAGCCTCGCTAAGGCCTACGAAGCCCAACTAATCTTGACTGAGGCCCCAGCAAGACATGACTGCTGCTTGTCCCTACAAGACACTTGAGGGGTCCCCTTAGAGGGGAGTCCCCCTAAACCACTTCTAAATAACATTAATCTACATTCCATGGATCACAGCATAAACTCCCGCAACTTGGGCAGCTGCTCGTGGCATTGGTGGCGTTTTGCGGCTTCCGTGCACGCAAGGGCAGCCTGTCACAATGCTTTGTGAAGCTGAATCCATCATGTCCATCGCATGTTAAGCGGTAAAGCTGCTGTCAAATTGCAAAGAGCACAAAGTTTCAGTTTGCGTGCGCATCAATGCTTGCACTACTCGGAGCTTGTCCATGAGTTGGCGCTTCCTCTCGCAGCCGTGGTGGGGTGAGACCTTCTGCTTGTCTGATGTACTAACTGCGTTTGGCACACTCAGCCGACCTCGAACCCTGCACTGTCCATCTCCCTTAGGACTGCGATTGCTTCTGGTACTCAGACTGGAACTCCTTGAAGAAGATCGTGGCTGCATGTCCAAGGGACCGGCAAATGTCACCGGCCTTTGCGTAAGGAGAGTCTTCTGGCAGCTGTGCACACCAGATCCCGGCCCCAGCACCGATTGGAATGCTGAAGGTGCTTATGATGGGCAGGTTGGTAAGCGTGAGCCCACCAGCAACTGCGCCAACTGCAGCTGCACCAAGCATGATGCGCAGGCCGCCTGCACGCTCAATGGCGGCGCCTGCGGAAGAGGTTGAGCTAAGTCCAAGGGCTGCAGGGCCATGGGCTGCCAGCAGCATCATGCATAGCAGCGCACCGACCCAAAAGCGACGAGGGCGCCTCTGTCGACGGGAAGTATCCATCTGCACTCGGAAAGATCCCACCACAACTACGACTGTAACAATCTGCTCGAGCCACCTGCAAAGACACTGTCTACAAGGAACTGCGTGTCAACAAGCAAGTTTGCCGGGCTTGCGTTGCCGTCGGGAGTACTCTGCTCTCGGCCACCACTTTCGCAGCCTGGCGATCAACCACTCTACTGAGTTGCATACTCCCAGTCCAGCTAATGAATCCCTCTGCCTACATCCGTTGAGCAGAAAGTGCAGCGTGTGAACTCAGCGGAAGCCTCTTGGTCAGTCTCGGGCACGAGTGCCAACAGATCGTCTGGCAACGCACGGCAACCGCAGATTGCGCAAGAATCAAAAGGTAACCACTGGTTGTCCGTTTCCAGGCGTTCGCCATTCACACTTGGAGTACGTGTATGAAAGAATCAAATACTCCCCGAATCAGATTTGGCTTTCAGCAATAGATGCATCATAGCTGCAACAGTGCTCTACTCCACCTGCCTAGCGCATCGATGATGGCTTGTACGTTGCGGCGAGCTGTACGGACCGAAGCCGTGGGGACTCGACCGTCAAACCTCCAAGGCAGAGAGATGGACCATGACCCGCAATTTGACGAAACAATGCAGGGCAAACCATGTACAGTCTGCGTAGCGGACGTTAATAGCGAATGCAATGCATGTGTACCTTCACAGTACATCTTTGATACAATCAAGCCTCGATAGCAGCAGAAACTGAGAATCCTCCTTCGACGAACATTGCAAGCAACCGCGCAGCCACGACATAAAGCGCTTGCGATACTGACACGGTCCTCATCAAGCGCTCGCCTAACTCGGTCGTACTCCGTGTCTGCCGCATTGTAGTCTTCTTGTGTGTACTGCAGGGGTCAGTGAGTCATTTTGGTATCAAATATTGGTCAAACCCTACATGGCTGACTGCCTCCAGAGGGATTAAGTGCAGTGCTGCAGCACAACACGGTGAGGCGCACACACACAAATCTCAGCAGAGGTCCTTGACCCACTGCTGAACTCGGAAGAGCTCCTTCCGAAGTCGTCTCACAGGCTCCTCAAGAGCAATGCTTGACACCATGCTGTAAAGCAGAACATAAGTAGAAGTCTCCAAAGCGTGCTGCAACCCCATGGCATGCATGAGGCTGTCATCGCGGTTGATGTTTCGCAGAAGAGCGTATGTCTCCGGGTTGTTGACGTCCACCTGTTCTCAGCTCAAATGCCTGCTAGTGTGCACATGATGAATTCAGTGCTGGATAAGTTGCATCTAAAGCCATGCCCAAGAGCTGAAGACGGCGAATGGCTGGAGGAAGGGCCCAACAATTCTTCGTAGCAGTTCCACAGCTCCGACATCATGTAGTATTCATAACTGGTGGCTAAAGTTGAACATTGATGGGCTCTTGCCCCTTTCTCGCTCTAGGGCACACTCTGCGTTAGTGTGAGAAGCTGAGTAGCGCTCATTTTTTCTGCACTACGGGACTGCACCCCATCCCCACCTAAAAGTCCCAAAGTGCCCTGTCGTGAAACTTGGGTGCGCCAAATGAAAATCCAGCATTTAGCTGTCGAACAATGTAGACCGGCTTCTTGATCTGGCGCTTCCCGACCGCTGAGCTGCAGGCAACGGATTGCCCGTTGCAAGCGCAGCAAAAGCATCCTACGCCTAACCGCCTACGCTACCTTCTGCAGTGCGAAGAATTTTGCACTCAGGTCTGGCACCTCGCGGAATGATGGAGGCACGAAGCGGCACTCACCCCGGAAGCAAGGCTTCCCCAAGATCATTGGCGACTCACACTCGCTTCCGCCACTCTCACCTGGTAAATCTGGTTGCATGGTCTCACTGAATCCCTCCCTACATTAATTACATGCCCTGATAACCCACGGAAATCTCATGCATTCTCATGCCCAGCCACTTCTTGCCGCGCTTCGCCGCACCGCCTGCTGGAGCTCCGGGGCGCTTGGTGCCTGCTTTGGCGGTTGCCTGCGCAACATGCTCTCGCGGTTGGCGTCTTTATCAACAAATGTGCATCAGGACCCGAGTGGGCCTTTGCGCCAGGCTTTTTTTTGTTGGGGTCAAACCTCAGGGTGGCAAAGACGGCTGTGGCAGCGGGCTTCTTTCAGATCCCATAACTTTCGCTTAGGTTGCAGCTTCTCGGACTCTTTGATCTGCACCTGCAAACCAACAATAACAATAGTAACAGTAATAATAACAATAATAGTAATAACAATAATAATAGTAATATCAATAATTATAGTAATCATAGCAATAATCGTAGTAATAACAATTACAACCAGAACTCCTACCTCAGCTCTTACCGGCTCAAGCCTGAACTCCAGTCGCATTGCGCCCAGAGCTTTTGCACCATCATGGAGTATCCACTTTAAAGTCTTGCTTGCGCTACCTGGTGTGAAGTTCCTCACTGGCAGCCTCAAGCACGTCCAAACGATACACACTGATTGTAATATTAGCAATCATAGTAGTTATGGTTGTAATTGTTATTACTCTTATTCTTGCTATGATTACTATTACTGTTGCTATTACTATCCTTGTTGCTATTACTATTATTGCCATAACTTATTACTGTTACTACTGTGATTATTCTGGCAGGCCCCTGTGTCAGCTGCTCTGTGTTGCGCCTTTGAGGAGCCGAAGAACATGTCAAGCGGTCTCTGCTTGGTCCGGTTCCTCCGCAGCCATAATGTGGCACATGCCCTTGTATTGGGGTTATGTTAGGGTTTAGGGTTAAAAAGGGTTATATAGTGATAATATTAGGGTCGGGCTATGTTGGGGTTAGACTTTGATTTTGAATGCGGGTGGGATCTTAGCACGGATGGGTCTTGTGCCAAGTCTTGAGGACTTGCATTTGTAGAGCAGAACGTCCATGAAGATGGATATGAGTTTGAAAGATCCCACGTTGTCTTTGGAACATGGCAAGACAAGTTCAGGCATTAGCGCATATCAGACAATGCCAAGGATCTTTGTGTTCTTCAGGCGCTCCACGTAGCGTTCCACTCGCTCTTTGCTGAAGGAGCAGTCCTCAAAAGAGGGGCGTACTTTGAGACTAGGGATTATTGTTAGGGGATACCCATGCCTACATTGATCCATAGAGCTCCACTCTAACGAGTTAGTAGATTCCTAGGTCATACTGAGACTACTTCTTTGATGGTTAGCTCTCAGTGACAGCTTCATGCTTTACAGTACAGCCGTGTCCTCAACCAAGAACTTTGTGAGACCGTCGAAGTCTGGCTCCTCAAAGTTGAACTCGCACTTGGAGGTGTCCACGGCCTTTCAGTAAACATGTCCCCCACCCTCTAGGCTGGCTTTCATCATAGGTTGCCCAAGTGCATAATAATATACTATAGTATCTTATGGTATATTATAGCATTTTGTAGTATATTATAATGTATTATATGTTGTAGCATACTTCCTGTACAATCATACCTACATCAAATCACGAGTTTGTCGCTTGGGGTCCTCCCCCTTACAGGGTCCCAATACTTATCTAGGTAACAGATACGTATCTAAGGAGTAAGCTTTTCAAAGAGAGTCATGTTTCCTTCTTGCATTGTCGGCTCTTGGGCCGAAAAATCGGACACCCCTGCATCAAGATGAATGGTCAACATGACTAGGAAAGAAAGAGCATACGTCAATGCTTCACTGTGAAGTGTCACTTGATGACTAGGAATTCCTACAAGTGTCACGCTTCGATTGGATTCCTGACTTTCTGGAGGAGGACTGCGCCTCGCACTCTTTGAAGAACATCCGTGCCGCCTGGAAAGGCCAGCATCGGTCCGCTTGGGGGGGGGGGGAAGCGTTTGGAGGGGCTCTGTGGAAGGACAGTTGTTCCAATCCTAGTACTGCCTGCACCATCCTGCACCTACAAGGTCCCAAGTAGTACTGATGATTACATGTGGTCCAAGAAATCTAACTGGCAATGATCCAGCTCTGGCATATGCTCAAGCAGGGCGGCATGCGAGATGCCAGCATCGGCCAGCCTCGTAGCGGAAGTTGGCTGGAACCTTATCGGGCCTCAGCTGGCAGGCTTATCCACCTCATTTTCATGGATGGATCTGATTGTTGCAGAGTCGATACCTCAGCTTCCAGCCCAAGAGCTTCGATGACCTTCCAGCATGCTGACTCGTGACTGTCTGCAGATCATCCTTTCCGCTTCTAAGTCTCCACTGGGTAATTCAGCATTGCCTGACCTTCTCCAGGGTTCCATGTTGCAGTAGAAGCTTAATCGCGGTGCTGGGACCTGGGGAGGGACAAATCAAAGGGTTTCTTAAATCCTGTGCTTTTGGGGCTGGCACCCACCCCTTTCATGGTGTCACAGTAGTCACAACCACAAAGGATGCAGAAGTCAATGAACTGGTCCATCGTGATGTTCAACCTTTGCTTGGCTTCTTTATTGCTTCCACGTGGTCAAGCACGCGCTGAACTCAGCTGAGTCACTGTTCCAGCACAAGCTCCAGATTCACCTGCTTCAGAACATGACGTCACAACTCATGCCATTCCTCTTTGGACTGCTTCAGCCGCTTACTCAGCATTTTGCAGCCTGTGACCGCATGCGACAATTGCTCTGCAACTCTCAGCGTGCTGCTGCTGCTGCTGCCGCCATGGTGGTGGATGTGGTGACACTGCGCTGACGGCACTGGCTCGCCTCCAGAATCGTCTTTTTCTGCGACTCGGCTGCCATGAGATTCCTCCAAACTGCTGCCAGTTGTCAGAGTGCACACTGAGATAGCTCAAGTGCAAAATCCTTAGAGGGCCTGATCAGAAGCTTCGTGCCGAACGTCAAGCAGTCCGCATCCTATCGACAGGGTCTTGAACTAGCATGGTCCGACGACTGGCTCTAACCATCTAGCAGTTGCCCCCTCAAGCAAGGTAGACAATGCTACGGATGTGGTGGTTGCAGCTCAGAGGGTGTGTCTTCACAACGTGGAATCGGCCTCTCATCGCTCAGCAACCCCTATTCTCCCTTATGTTTGAATTGCAAGACGATATGGAAACAGAATGAATCATCTGGTTGACATTCTGATTGGAAGTAGGAATTGAGCTCCTGTCTGCTATGATTGAACAACGTCGACATAAGCACATCACTTTCGGCTGAAACTTTGGAAGTATACCAAGCCCACCAAGCCCTGCCAGCTCAGGACTTGCCGCTCAACCTCAGGCCTCTGTGGCGGCTGCGAAGACCTTGCCATCGCGGCAAAGCGCGGCGCACGTCCTCAGTAGCAGTTTTCACCTTTACCAATGGGGAAAATCATGAGGTAACGCCGTGCCGCTCTTGATAAAGAAACAACACTGTTACACTTTTGTTCAGCATGGCAGTCAACGTGACCATTAAATGAATGATGGGCTGGGCAGTGCTGTGGCCGGGACACAGGCTTTCCCAATAAGCAACCAATGTGAAGTGTGGTTTGGCGGTCTGCAGCTGCGAGCACCCTGAGATTCAACATTATAGTACAGGAGTTTCCATTTTCTTTTCCATCATCCCTATACAACCCCAATATAACCCCAAGTGGCCCCAGAAACATCTCCCTGGGGATAGCACGCTTCAGCTTCACCGGGAGCCTCCACCTCTGCCGGGCTGGAACTGGGGCTTTCGATGTGGCTATGAGCTGGCTGTACAGTATGGTGCTCTGCAATATTATGTCGCACAAACATCTCATCCCGTCTTCGGCCATCAAGTCGCAACTGTGAAGAAATCCCAAGCAACACTGCAGGCAATCCTGCAGACCTCTCAAGCTCTCAAACTAAGGACGGGACCACAGGGACGCCCATCAGCCTGAGGAGCTTCTTGGTCTCCTATGCAGACAAGGTCCCTCCCAGGCGAACAGGCCTACAGCAGAAGAACTCTAGAGGTGAACAGCTGAAGAGCTGCCGCATCAGCTGCAGTTCGGATGGGGCATGCCAACACTCAAAGCGCTCCGCGTTCTGTTCCTTGGTGACTTTGACCGTGGCCTGCCATCTCTGCACATTCGCAAACTGTGGTGCTCTGACCATCTACAGCGAAGCACTGATTTCGTTGAACGGTAGTCGTGGAAAAATGTCGTGTGTGAGCTTGCGCAAGCAGCAAAATCCATCCTTCGATGCGGCACCTTGGTGCTCTTCAAGATCGCCTCGGAGTCGCCAGTCTCCATGGCAGCCTGCGCAGGTCAGACCGAAGGCTGCAGACGTCCATACGCGCAAGCCCACACATTTCTAAATCCCGCTCTTCAGGGGCTGGAGCCCAATCTGCAGTTGCTGCGAACACGCTTGTGGAATCTGGAAGTTACACCGGCCGGACTTTGTGGCCAAACTGCCACAACCTCACCCCTGACGTCTATATCCCAAACTCCTCTCTCCGTCTCTCTCCAAACTCGCGGCAACTTGTGCTTCACCCACCTGCAGGTTGGCTTCAGCTTCTTGGCGCTTCGCCCTTCGTTGCTCCAGCTCCTTCGGCGACTACCAAGGGACCGGGTCGTTTGCAAGTCGAGCTGGGCCGCTTGTGATGAGTTTGTTGGGGAGGCGAAGGCAAAAGGTCCACAGGTTCACAGCTTTGTGAGGCTGAGCCCTGCAGGCGTCCAGCAGCTTCATCTCAGGAGGCTTGCCGTCGAAAACGTAAACAGGCTTGATGCCATTCCTTTGCACTCAGCCGTAGTGAGCCGTAGTGGGAATGGTACTCATTCAAAGGCTTGCGAGTCAACCGAAAACCGTCTGTTGGCACGTTGTTATCACATGCCAGCACGATCTGTAAGCCGCTGGCTCCATCAATCGGATCGTGCGCGTCAGCATTCCAATGATGTGAGACGTCACCTGCCAGTTATTGCAGAAAACACACAAACACGGAGAGAACGAGATCGAGAGAGAGAGAGAGAGAGCGAGGGAGCGAGGGGAGGGAAGGGAAGGAGGGAGAGAGAGAGGGAGAGGGAGAGGAGCAAGCGCAGGAAGAACTTCAACATTCCTCAACTGGGGCCTGTCCCTCCTCGTTCGTGAGGTTGTTGTACCTAGCAAGAATCACTGCCAGAATACTCAATCGTGCACATTAGATGTAAAGAGCTTGCTGAAGCTGTGATCAGAGGCATGGCTGCCATGCAGCATCTCACAGTCTGGTTTTTTCACAGTCATTGACCTGTTGTAGACGCATTGTGCTTGCGGCGCACGTCCCCGTCCTGTTCTCTCTGATCATGATCAAGAACTGGTAGAGGCACCTACAGTGTTGTCAGACTTTCTCTTCCTTGCTCTGAAATTCCACCAGAAAGAGGGGAACCGCGCAACCATGGCGCAAGTGCTGGGCAGCTGGCATACTGGCATCGATTGCCACCAAGCGACCAGTGTAGGCAGCCTGGCAGCTGGGAGTGGTAGCTGCCTCATGTTCTATGCTGGTTTTGTTAATTGGCTACTGTCATCTTTCACTGGCCTGACTTTCTTTCTCCTTGACCGCCTTTGGGGCGGCATCTTGGAGAAACTTCATCAGGCCTCGAGGTTGCGTGTACCGTTCGGGCGGCTCAAATAACAACTGTCGTCTCGCCAGGCCTTTGATACCCATGCTGCCCACGTTCAAGGTGCCGGCGGCTTCGGAACGTACGCGGCTCTTTGAGCCATGATGCGGCACACATTTCGAGCAGAATTGCATATCCAGGAGCCCAGGTTGAGCATCTCCAACAGAAGTACTCTGGCAAAGACACAGAAAATCTCAGGGAGGAGTTCCGGAATGCATCCAAGCCTTCCTGTCATTCAGCTGCTTGTTCTGAATTTCGAAGGCCCGTCTTGCCATGTACCTGCAACGTGGCAAACAAGAACTGCTCTAAACTTCCATGTCCAATTGTGCCCGCTGTACAGCTTGGGCAGGAAGCTCTGCAGCTCGGTGTAGTTGAAATCCTGCCTCGGATCTCTCTGGAGCTTTCCTACACTCAGCAAGGTCACCATGCATTCTTTCCGGCATCAGCCAAAGTTTCTTCATACGTGTGATCAGTGATCTGGGTCTGCCGCGTTTGTTTCTTGAACTTGTTGGCGCCAAGGAAGCCGCCCTCCCGCGCACAGAGACTCTGAGAGCAATCAAGAGTCAAGTGAGCAACTGCATATGCCAACCGTGCCACACCCAACCGGATAAAAAATGAGAAGACGGGAGGGAGGCTGACTTACTGGTTCTTAGTATGGAATCAGGGAGTATAATCCCTATATATCTTATTCCCTTATTCCCTACTATAACCCCAACACAAATGTGGTAGTTTCCGTTCTCTACCTTTCCATTATCCCTACATATTGAATATATATATATAGATAGTATATACATATTCCGGTATTCCCTGCTAATAATCAGGGAGCTGAAAGTGAAAAAAGGCCAGAGATGGTCGGAGAGCGCAAAAGAAGATTCCGCAGATTCGATAATCATAATATGCGCAAGAATGATAACAGTAGTAGAAACAATAGTAGTAGTTGTTGTTGCAGTAATACCAATAGTAGAAGTAGTAAAATCGAGGCCTCTCGTGCTTCGTACTTGGCTTTTTGACGCGAGGCGCCGACAATGAGATCTACGCCTGGCAAGAGAGTTGCTATTTGTGAAGCACGTCCGTTCGCTGCACTTGTATGACGACAATGATAGTTGAGATCACCATGACAAGTCAACAGCAATCCCAACAACGACAGTCCGTACATGATTGTGGCAAGCAGCCAAAGCCCTACACCGTGTCTGATTCGAACCCCAGATCAGCCCCCAGCGCCTTGAGCAAGAAAGCTGTCGACACGTTTGTCCAAAGATCCAGCGGTATGAATTCACAGAAGCTGCTTCTGATGATACTAATGTACAATGTTTATATGTATATACACATAGAATAAGAATGACTATGAAGTTTGTAGGTGTTCTTTCCCATGTTCGTGATCACTATTGCTGATCGTTGTTGCCACGATTACTGAATAAAGCCCTCCTGCGCCCCCTAGTTCTCATGGAAACTCAATATCACCATTGCGACTTTATCTGCTAGTGCCACTAGTCACTAGTCGAGCATTGATACCATTGTAACTGATAATACCTGAAAATGTTGCTGCTGTTGCCGTGGTGTTGGAATTGTCTTTGCTGTTGTTATTGTGAGCATTAGTTTTACGATGAATATTCTATTGACATCAAGATGATTTGCTGTCTTTGCTTATTCTGTTGTTGATGTGATCAAGGCTACGATTTGTGTCGAGACGACTGTTATCTGTCATTCCTAGTCTTGCGGCATGCCTCGCGTGAGCAGCCTCTGGGCTCTGTACAAGTCAAGTCTGGCTAGACTAGGTATCACGTTGGTCTATACATAGGAAGGCTCCAGCAACCTAAAACAAGTCTGAAATGTTGCATCACTTGTCATTAATCCCCTTCCAACTGGGACTGGCGCCGCTCAAGCAGTGACATCCACAGGGACTTCTGCACAACGTTGTTCACAAAAACAAAGGAACCATGCTTCTCGATGATCAACTTTTCGATATCATCTTCGTCCTGCTTGACACTAGCCGTAGCATTCGCAGCATCAACCACACAATCAGATATGAGCTCATCAACGTAAGTGTAGTTGCTGGAGGCCCCATCAGAATGCGCCACGACGACACTGGAGGGGATCCCTTCTGAAGCTGTGACAAAGACTTCGAAAACACACCAAATCCTTGTTAAATATGAAGGTTGTTGTTGTTGAAGAAAATGAC